TCTCAGCCAAAATGACAGCCTCTTAGCTACTCCTATCAGCCTATGCTAATCCTCTACAAAGCACTCTTTGCTTGATTGTTTGGCTGATCACCCATTCCCTCATTGGATAATTGTTTTCTTTCTTTCTTCTTTTAATTGAAGTATAGATCATTTGATAATTTAATTTAAGTGCCACAAGCAGGGGCCTGTGCATTTGGTTCACTACTGTCTTCTCTGGAACACAGGAGGCATGCGATAAATAAAAATGAATGAATACATAAAGTCAAATTATAAAGTAGGTTCAAGCAGACTATTATCATGAGCCCTTTATGAAATACTGATTTCTTCTGTAATGTAAATAATCACCTCGTGTTTTATGTCTTTCAAGTCAAAGAACAGGTTTTCTTAAATCAAGAAATACCTGTTCTTGAGTCATGAATAATTCTGTTCATGAATAAAATAGTAACTGGATTAGGCAGGAGGAAGAGTTTTGAGGAAAGATATTACCCAAACAACAGTAACTATGCTGAACAATCTTCATTCAGTATCATGGAGTTCTTTGATTCAGGACATTTTTTTCCAGCAAATACACGCGCATTTATTTAAGTTCAACGGAATTTCTTTGGTATTAAGGAAAGTGTGAGTAAAATGCTTTCTTGTAAGCAGAGAGGTGAGAGAAAAGTCTTCTACCTTATTGAGACAAATGGGGAGGAAAGAAAGGACTAAGAGTCAGTATAACTGGATTCTAACCCTTACTCTTAAAAAAAAAAAGTTTGTTTTTTTATTTTTAAAATTTTGGGGGGGGGGAGGTAATTAGGTTTACTTATCTATTTTTTAGAGGAAGTACCGGGGATTGAACCCAGGACCTTGTGCATACTAAGCATGCGCTCTACCACTTGAGCTATACATTCCCCCCAAGTCCTTATTCTTGATACTGAAAAAAGTTTCTATCCTCAGAAGAGTCCCTAACTCTTGCTTGGCCTTAGTTTCCCCCTATTTCAAAACAGATGAATAAATGAATCCTTGGTTTGAAGGTAATCTCAGAAAGTACTATTAAGCCACTGGCTGGTCATGTGTGAGCTCAGACTGCAGGTCCTGGGAGACTTCACTCCAGGCTAGGCGAGCCATGTCCTCTGGCCACCAGACCTCAGTACCTGTTCTCCTTAAGGAGTTGACACTAACTACCAGTTTTCACCTGGAAATTCCGAAAACTAAATCCCACCTCCTCTCCCGCTTTCTACACAGCACATCACCTCCATAAGCAATGTATTGTCTGACCACTGACCCAGCTCTTCCATTTGCCAAACTTCCTAGTCTTTTGGAACAGCTGCACCATAATCAGCAAATCCCATTTACCTTTATGTTCTCTGAGTACTCCCTGTATCTTCTAGCCTGAACTCAACCCTTATTACTCCCTTAAGATACCATTTCTATAACCATTGCTGTCGACTTGCCTCTTTCTTGCTATTTTACCATCCCCAGACTATTACTTCCCTCACCTGCCTCACTGACGTTAGCTTCCGAACTGCTCATGACTCCTTGTCATTCATTAGAGATTCTGTCATTAGGCACACAGTTTTCTTCTCAGCTCCAAGTACTGTGATCATCCCAGGTAATCCCAATGTCTTCAGAGATGACCCCCCCAACAACTGATACCCCTGTGCCCACTGCTCTTCTCAAATATTCCACCCTAGCCACTCTCTCCTACAGTCACACCCTGTACCTTGCTACTACCTCAGCATGGTCTAATCCCAAAATAATTCACTGAAGCATTCTGCTCTTCAACCATAAACTACCTATCCAATCAATTATCCTTGCCTGATTATTCCAACTGTTACAAGATCTCTAGGAGGCTGCCTCACCTTTCTTTATTTTCCAATTTAGATGCCAGTTTCACCACAATAATGTTCTTGATGATGCCCTAGCTCCCCATGTCTGCCTTTCACTACCTATAAAACCCCAGCCCTGGATGAACTAACTCAATTAGAGTGAATTTTTTTCCTACAGCCCATGAAGGTGTAGGCTGCTGAAGACAGTCACAAAGGATAGCACTGGTGTCACCACAAGTTCATGGTCATTAATCTCAAATGGACCTCCAACAATCTCCAGCATTTCTACTATATTCTACAGGTAAAGGATGAAAGAATATGCCACCTCAAAATATGCCACTTCGGCCTGAGGATTATTTTGAGCTAAAGGCACCTGAAAAACAGCAGAGGCAAGAAGAGGGATCTAATCTGCCCCTTTCTTCCTGAAAACAGGAGATATAATTCCCATATGAAAGATGCCTTTCCTGTATCGGGGGAGGTTGCGGGGGGGACATCCTTAGACACCAGACCGGGAGTTGAAGCTGAGGGAATGCTGCACAAACAGACCTTGTGAAAATAATTCTCATCTTCCTTTAGCCTCCCTGTATTTTTTGGTTACTTTTGCACAATTGCCTCTTTGTTCAACCCAGCATAAAAGCATTTGATTTTGCCACTTCTTTGGGGCTTTATTTCCTTGTGAAAGCTCCTGTGTCACAGAGAATTTATATTAAATGTGTGGTTTTCTCCCGTTAACCTATCTTACGTCAGTTTAATTCTCAGGCCCAGCCAAAAGCCACAGAGAATAGGCAATATTTCTCTCCCATAGTACGAAATAATTCTTTCTTTCCCACACTCCTCTAACCTAAAACCCTCTTTAGCAAATGACTGCTTTCTATCACATAGAAACCAGAAGCCATCAGATGGGAACTCAAAATTTACCCACATCTAAAAAAAATCAAACCTAAAATATTCCTTTTCTTCTTCCTTCCTATTACAATAAAGGTAATAAAGGAAGCGACCCTGTTACAAAAGGATAATCCCTCCTCCCATGACTTAGATGTCATTTCTCTCACCTCCACAGAAACCTTGCTTTATTATTACCCCTCTCTTTTGTTTACTCAGCTTTCCTTAACTCTCTTCAATTTAAAAAGATATTTTATTAATTGTCTTTCTCCTCAACCTACACTCCTTAACCCGGTGCCATCTGATTTTTGTACTCATTATTCCACAGAGGCAGCTCTCAGCTAGCCCACTTTGACATTCATGCTGTTAAATCCAGTGAACATTTTGCAATTCTCACTTTCCTTGAGTTCTCTGCAGCTTTAGCTCTGCTTGTCAAGCCCTGCCTACTTCCAGAAACATCACATTCCCTTGGCTTTTGACATACGACAGTCTATTTTCCTCCTGCCTCTACCCCAACCTTCAATGACAGAATTCAGTGCTCAGATCTGCGCTCTTTTCCTCTCACTCATTACTCTCACTAGGTAATCTCATTCTGGAAGGAACTGTAGGGGCATGGGTGAAAAACGGCTCCAAAGAAATCTAAGCAGCCTGATAGATGCGGATTCAGAAGCTCTGAAGTTTTTTTCCTTCTGTACTTTAAATAAACCCTTTTTGAGCAGCATTTTTCCACAGCAATTAGCATTCCCTATGTATACTCACCGCTAATCTAAACGAATAAATTTGAGTGTCACTGAAAAGTTGGAGAAAATCAAAGGGCATATGGCTTTTAGTTCTAAACGATATTTCCACTGTGTTTTTCGCATTTATTTTTAAAAACAATGTTTTATGAAGAAAATCAGGAAATTGTGAATCAGGGTGCTCTAGTAAACCTGATTATGGCATATTATGCGTAAGATAAACTCCAGAGTCACATACACATGATGAATAGAAAATTAAACTATTTATTATCATTGAAGTAGACTTTAAAAATAACGATACATAAGATATGCGTGACATAGTTGGGGTGACCTGAAGCTGAGAAAGCTGATGAATTGCTGGAGGCAGAATCCAGAGCGAAAGTGTGAGTAAAGCCGTCGAGTTGAATTATAGTTTGAAGCGCTGGTCTTAAATCCAAGTGATCAATTTATAACCACCTGGCATACAGGAAGGAGGTAGGAAGAGATTTAGTTAACTTCACAAAGTCCAGAATGTTCAGGTTAACTGCAAGCAATGAAGATTAACGTGAGGTGACCGCAAAAAGGGCCAGTGCTAATTAACGCACAACCCAGGTTCAGAGTCTGACCAGCGGAAAGACTCTTTCCAGTTCATGCTCTGGTTGGCCCCCTTCTAGCCTGCTCCTAAGGCTTACTGCTCCAACAGAGGGCATGCAGGGGGTGAACAAGGTCCTGGCTGGGGAAGTACAGTGGGAATAACACGCCTAAAAGCCATATGGTCGGATAAGAACGGGAAAAACAGCATATTGAGCCGGCCCAAGACTTCAAGGAGACTTGGTCCTGGAACCGCCGTTTTGTGGAACTGCGATTAGTGTGATTGATTGTAAACTTCGGCAGAGGGAAGGGGTATGGCTGACTGGGCAGGAGTTGGGCTTCAGCATCACGTGGGTTAAAAGCACCGGCTGACGAGTGGCCGGGTGTGGAAGGGGCGAGCCGCCCCAGCTCCGCTCTCAGGTAGCCGCGCCGGCGAGACCCCTGAATTTCCGCACCGAGTCGGGGGCTCCCAAAGCAACGGACTGCACCGCTTTTCTCTCCTATCTGAAAACTGGATTCCACCAGGATTCACGTAAGCGGCCAGTCAGCAGCCACCGTATCCTCCGTGAGGAATGCGGGTTAAGGGTGGCCTGGAGTCGTGTCAGCCTCCCACGCCGTTTACAAAACGCCCCATTTGCAAAACCAAGAGCACGAGGGGCAGGCGAAGCCCAGCGGCAGGCGTCTTACCCTGGAAGGCCGGCCACCCCAGCGCCATGCCCCCTCCGGAGGAAACTGAGCCTCGGCAGCCCGCCCCCGGGGGCCAGGGCCGGGGGTCAGCCGCCCAGCACCGCTCCCCCGCCTCCGCTCGGGAAGGCGAGTCCGAGCCCTGAAGGAAATCCAGCCCCGCCAGGCGCGCAGCCCGGCCAGCCCACCCTAGCCAACTCCTCTCCGTCCCTCCCGGCCTCGCTCCGCAGGGCTCCGCACGCCGCCGTCACCCAGGCCCGAGCGCCTGCCACGCAGCCCGCTCACCTTGCTCTAGCGAACGCCTCACTTCCCGGGGCTCTACTCTCGCGAGGGCTCGAGAACCCGGTGAGGCGCGCTTCCGACGTCGGGGCGGAGCCTGGACGCAGATTGGCTGAGGCGTCGCCGGGATGGCTGACTGGATGCAACGGGGCTGCGTAGGGAAGAGGCGATGAAGGGTGAGGGGCTGAGGAGACAAAAGGGGCGGGATGGAGGGCGCTGGGTTGGAGCTGGGGATTGGCTGTGGGGTCTGGACTCGGGCGCCATTGGCCGTGTGGAGAGCCGGGCTCCGGGACTGGACCCAGCAGGTGGAGGTGCGGAATCAGATCAGGGCGGTGGGATAGAGGGGGCCTGGGTAAGGGGGTGGGGTGGGGTAGGGCGGGAACTGGGCTGGGGATCGAGTGTAAAACTTAGGTCCAGATCTCTAACAGGGTGTATGTGACCGATCGGACTGGGGTGGATTATAGGGTGAGTATTGATTTGGAAGAAAAGGCAAGCTGTGGGTTCGCAGGGCTTAGGCGAGGGGAGGGCTGTGTTTAGAAAAATGTTAGAGGGGGAGGGTATCGCTCAAGTGTTAGAGCACATGGTTAGCATGCAGGAGGTCTTGGGTTCAATCCCCAGAACCACCTCTAAAAATAAATAAACCTAATTACTGCCCACTCACCCCACCCCCCGCCTGATAAAATGAAAATAGTTAAACAGTACAATAATAAGTGAATGAAATATTCAATCTTGTTTAAAGCAATATACAAAGAATGAATAAATAATAAGTAGCAAATGTTGTAATTGATGCCTGCTTCTAAGTTTTGGCGATTATGAATAAAGCTGCTCTAAACATCCAAAAAGAAAGAAAGAAAGGAAAATGTTAGTAGAGTGTGTGGGAGAGTTTGTATTTGCATTTATCACCTTATGGTGGCAGTGAGAAAAAAAGTGGAGAGGAACTTTACATTCCTGACCAGTAAAACGAGTTTGATCAGAGAACTGAGAGTGAAAGGGGGAATGAAACTAAGGAGGAAAACAAAGGGCACTTTCAAAGTGAAGAGGGAAAACTGGGTAAGAGAAAACGGAATAGGGTGAATTACTCCTTTCCTGAGGGCGAAGTTAGCGACAGGAGAGCTTCTGTTAAGAATTTGTAATCAGATTTTGTAGTTGGCTTTATTCCTTCGATAACTATGTAAGTTTAAAAAGCTAAAGCTTTAATCTGTTCTTAGAAATAATAATCTGCATATATGTAAACTAAAACCAAGTGCAGTATGCTGTATATATGAATTTACATGCAATATAACATGTATGTGCAGTTGAACTGTATTAATTCTACCTGATAAAACTGAAAAAGGGAAAAGAAGCAAAAAAAAAAAAGAAGAATTTGTAATCAGATTTTCTTCCTCTCCTCTTTTATGAAGATCGGAGGATAGAATGCGGGAGGAGCATAGCATTGTCATTCAAGTCCAGGAGAAAAGACAAAGATAGCCTTTGGTTGAAGGAATACACTCTCCAACTAGGTATAGGGAGGTTCAGAAGACCTCTGAATGAAGCAATGATTGTGTACAATAGGGGACCTACCCCTAGCTTGTGAACCGCTGTGAGGCGCGTTCGTTTGTCAATACTCTCCCGCCAAAAGGCCACCGAGAACACATCTGTAGACAAAAAGTTGGGTTTATTGCTCGCTGCAAAGATGGAGAGAACACTCCTCGGGGAACCGCGTGTCCTTTCAAAGAACAGCGTGTTAAAAGAGACTTACAGGATTTGTGCTTGTATGAGGCGATTTTGGGGGCGAGTTCAAGGAAAAGGAGATTCACACTGTTCTGGGTGCTCTCAGGAAGTGGGGGTAATTATTAGATTGTGTATCATAACATAACACATCTCATGTAGAAGGAGGGAGGGACATTGCCAGACTGATTTTGTAATTGATAAAAAAGTAACAGCTTTCCTAGCTAGGAGAGGAGGAAGTTTGGTGTTTAGTTTGCAAAGACCTTGTTTTTCATCTGTGTTTAGACAAGATTATTACGTGATACTCTCTGTTGTCTCACTTCATCATAGTCAGAGAGTGACTGATGTTGGTGTTCTGTCAGATTGTTGTATTTTGCAAGGGAACAGCGTGGCTAGTTCCTAACAACACTGAAGCCTTAAAGGGTAAATGTCAGCTGACTTCCTGATGCCAGGTACTGCTTTTCTTTTTCTCATATTTAGAAATTACTCGAGTAGAGAACATAGGTGCGGAGGCTTCTGGGGAAAATGAGGCACAGAAAGTGTGTGTCTCAGACCTGAAAGAGGAAGAAATGGGCAATAGACCAGTATATTTATATACAATGACCTCAGATGGTGATAGGTGCTCTGAAAGAAGCAATGAGGGGTGGAGACCGCAGACAGTTTCAGTAGGATAGCAGGAAAGGCTTTTTTTTTTTTTTGAAGAGGTAACATTTGAACCCAGAATCGAATGATGAAGAGGCAACCTTGCAAAAAATGATTCTGGAAAGGAAAATGGCAGTTGAAAAGGCTCTTGTTTGGAAACAAACTTGGCATGCAAGGAACAAGAGAGAGACCAGTGTGTCTACAGCACAGTGATCCAGGAATAAAATCTTTTAAGATTTTATTCTGAAAGAGCTGCTGGAAACCTTAGGCAGAGGAATAATGTAATCTTAATCACATTTTTTAAAATGTTCCCTGTTTGCTTTGGAGAAGAGCCCTGTAGGTGGTTAAGAGTAGAAGCAGGAAGGTCTGTTAGGAGGTTGTCAGAGGGACAGCTGATGCTGACTGGGCTAGGGTGCAGCAAGGGAGGGAAAGAGGGCTGAGGGTCGCAGATTCACTCTTAACCATCCACCATCACTTCCACTTGGTTTCTGCTAATTCAGACGCTCTCTGATTACCCTCTTCAGAGTATAAACTGCCAATCTCTTGCTGAGGTGAAGGGGGACCAATTGGTGGGGTGTGCAAACCTGGGGTGGGGATCTGGGATCCAGCGGTTTCTTAGAAAGGCCTTTATATGAGCCTCTTGTGTTTTGTCTTGAACCTTTGGGGTTTCTTTGGTGGTAAAATCTAATTGCCTTTTGGCCGTCTTTGTGACTGGTCTAGGATTCAGCTTATTTGAATCTGCTGTTGATTTCTACCTGCCTGTTTGCTTTCTAATGTCTAGAATCTTATTTTAGATTCACTGTCTTTCCCCTTGTTTTTGCTCTCATGGGGTTGTAGCTTAAAAGAACCTCCCCACTGTTATTTCAGTGGGGCTTAGGTAGAGAGAGAATATAGATGTGTTTGATTTGCCATCTCTTGTTGTTATTGGTTCATTAAATGACTGAAGGACCAAATGCTGGGCATTCAGATACTTTGTTCATGTAAGTCTTATGTCATTTATACTCATGTTGGTGTTCAGAAGAGAAATCCCAGTAACGCCCTGGAATGAATGGCTGATGCATATACTTTCCTTATACCTCGTTCCCATTTGTTTTCTGAATAAAAAGACGTTATCTGCCTTATGTAGATAAAGCCTTTTCCATTGCTGCACAGACAGGACTAGAAATACTCTGAAATACAGCAGACAGAAGGCAGGTACAGCATAGGTGGTGTGCCAAACTGCCTTGTTCAAATCTCAGTTCTGCAGTTTTCCAGCTGTGCAACCTTGGGCAAGGTACTTCATTTCTCTGTGCTTCCAATTCCTTATCTGTGAAATGTGGATAATAGAATGTTACTTATAATGCTATTTTGAGCATTAAAAGACTTAGTAGGCTTCAAAAACCTTAGAATTGTGCCCAGTTCTAAGTACTATACAATTGTTCTTTAAGAAAAAAGGAGAAAGAATCTTTAGGATGGGGCTGCTGGTTGTGCCCCAGTATTTAGTAGTCTCTTCTTTAGCAACAGAACCCCCAAATTTCAGCAGAGTGTATGGGTGTTTGGTATAAAGACTGCATTTCCAGCCTCTCTGTTTTCGCTGGGTGGGCCAGATGACTAAGTTCTGGCCAATGGGATCTGAGTGGCAGCTATATATGCTGCATCCAGGAAATGTCTCAAAGAGATCCTGTGCCCTTACTGCTCCCATGGTTTGTGGTTTCCTTACCATTCAAGTGCGAGCATGTTGGCTGCAGCCCTCTCGAACCACCAGGTGGAATCTTCAAGTTGAAGATGGTAGCACAGTAGGATGGGAGAGAAGGTGCCTGAGCCCTGATATCATGAAGCTACCACCTTAGCCCCAGACCTACTAAATTTGTGTGAGAAAGAAATCAGCCTCAATTTTGTTTAGTTCTTTTACATAGGTTTTTGGAAATGCAATCATAGTACGGCTGTGATGGTTTACCGCCGCCGCCACTAGTTTGCTTACCGGAGGCATCTCACTTCACTTTTACGTGGCCTTCCAGGTGACAGCAGAGTGACCGAGAGGAGATCAAAGTGGAAGATATTAGCAATACCTTTTTATCTGGAAATGCTTCTCAAGAGGCGTTCTAGTACTTGTAAGTACTGACAGTCAGGCAGGCAGAATTATGTTCTTTCTTCACTCATAATCCTCAAGCAGTACCAAGCAGGACCTGCTCCAGGAAAACAGACAGCTAAGCCCAGGTTTGTAAGTTGCGAAGCCTCTTCCGTCTTACTTTCCTGCTGTCAAGGGTTACGTTCTTGAAAGTAGATCTTAAGCATTTTCCACACACACACACACAGAGAGAGAGAGAAAAGAATTAAGCATTTTCCACACACACAGAGAGAGAGAGAGAGAGAAAAGAATTAACTGTTAACTGCGAGGTAATGCATGTGTTAATTTTCTTGATCTTGGTAATCATTCTACAATGTATACATATACATTTATGGAATCACCATATTGTAGACAATTATATTTGTCAAAAAAGAATTATGTTTGGTTTTCAGCCTCATGTAGCTATTTTAAATACAATATTTTGGTGCAATATTTTGAGTGTGTGTATGTATTAATGCTTTCCAGCCAGATTATAATAGCTGTACAAACATTAGTTTAAGTATTTCAAAGACAATAATAGAAATTGTACATTTGCCCACAGAAACGTTGCCCAGGGTAGCTGAGTAGCTATTTATCTCTCTGTCTGCCTATCTTTTCACATATACATTTGGCTAGATTTGTAGCAGTTGAACTATTACCATTGATTACTCAAGATGAGAAAGTTTTCACAGCCTGGGAACAATTTTTAAAAGAAGAAAATGAATTTTGACTTTACAAATCAGTTTGGTAGGAAAAAATCCATTCAGAACATGAGGGCTACATGTAAGATGTAGCAATAAAAATTGTCCTTGTGGAAACTTTGACTAGTACTGGGCCCTTCAAGACAAGAATTAGGTCTGTGGCTTCTGGCTAAATGGTGTTAGAAAATGCTGCTATACCACTAAGTGTCAGTGCATTAGAACCTGGTAGAAATTGCTCTTCTCAGCAAGGTGTTGTGTTTCCTTTTTCAATCTGACTTTGCCTCTGGAATTCCTAGCTCACATTTATGATGGAGCTTTTAAGCTTTCAGAAGCCTGTCTCTTAGGGATTCTAGGCAGGTTCTCAGCTCCTGGAAGATGTCTATGGCAACTTCCCTTTGCTTGCCAAAGTGTCTTAGTGTGCAGTGTCCGTTTGGCACTGCTGCTGGTCCAAAGTCGTTACTGCAGGCTTCATACCAGGTAGATCTCCAGAGCAGTGGCAGGAACATAAATCAGCACCAGATACTTTAGGTCCGTAAAGAAGGAATAATGATGAAATCCTTTGTGCAGAGAAAGAGGGAGAAGATGCCTTTCTAAATGGTACAAGACTATAAATAACTATAAAATTTTAGAAACATGCAACATGACATTTAATAATCACATGGTAAACTTTCAGGGAAAAGTGCCAGGAATGCAGCTGGGATGATAAACAGTGTGTATAAATATTTATTGTATGGAGGATTTACTATGTGCCTGACACCCTTCTAGATTCTGCTGATCCCATGATAAAAAAAGACAACATTTCTGCCCCTCAGGACCTGATGTTCTGCTGAGGGAGAGATGCAATGAACAAACCGACCCAGGCCATATCTGGTAGTGATAAATTACTGTGAGGAAAAATTTAAATGATGGCCGCTAGATGGAGCTCATTGCCTTCTCCATTTCTTTCACTTACCAATCCACTCAGATGATTTTTTTTAACATTTTTTATTGATTTATAATCATTTTACAATGTTGTGTCAAATTCCAGTGTTCAGCACAATTTTTCAGTCATTCATGGACATATACACACTCATTGTCAAATTTTTTTCT